TTGATATTATGCTTAGAGATGGAGCTATATTTCTTTATTGCTCCACGTTATAGTTTTTTTGGGATTTGGTATTTAGCTATTTACAATTTGAGCTAACGAGAGACATACATATGCTCGTGTTGTAAATTTCTAAATATCAAACTACCATTTTATTTCAGAGTAGATAATTGACTATCTATATGTATTAATAGCTATTTTTCTTTCTTCTAGCCCTTCCCCCTGGGGTTAGTTGAGATGTTACTCGCTAGCGCTTGACGCTCGTTGTTTACCTCCTTTCAAGTAACGAGCCAGGTGTATGGAGAGTCGTAGGTTGATGGAATTGCTTTAGCAGTTATTTATCTATATTGTTAGTAGTTTATGTCAGAACTCCACAGTAGATGTGTTTATGAACATTTGAGTTATCATTCTAGTTTTGTAAAGGCGATGTGCCTAAATATCATTTCATTTGATTTCCTAAGTCAAGACACTTGTATTCAGTCAGATGTTATTTCTCTCAGAGATTTGTCTATTTATTTCAGTGGTGATGATTTCTTCAGAATATTTGTCATTTAGTATTTCTTCTGTATATTTTCTCTAGCCTGTTTTGTACCTACACCTGTTGTTGATTCTACTAGATAGATAGTAATTGTGATGGTAAAACATGCTATTGTACGGTGTAGTACATGGCAGGTTTAATATTCTTGGTTTCACCTTAGACTACAGCCTTGTTGAAACCAGGAGCGTCACACACTTGTAGCAATAAAGGAAGAAAATATACCTGTAAATCTATACATACTTAGGGGAGAAACCCTGCAGGAAGCTGATTTATGCATAGCATCAACTAGCCGTGGAGAAGAATAACCATGATATGGCATTGTAAACTAGGCTACATGTCAGAATGAGGCTAAAAGGTTCTCTCCGACCAGAAATTGCTTCTTGGGCTCAAATCGGTAACTCTTCCCTTTTGTGAGCATTGTGTTTCAAGTAAGCAGCATCGACTGAAATTTAAGACATCAAGTTCTAGAAGTAAGACTATTCTGGAACTAGTTTATTCTGATGTATGGCAAGCACCAGTTACATCTATGAAGGAGCAAAATATTTTGTGTCATTTATTGATTATTGCTCTAGAAGATGTTAAGTGTACGCTATCAAGAGCAATGAAGATGTATTCCCAATCTTTCAAGCTTACAAAGCGCAAGTTAAGGTTGAATCTAGAAAGAAGATCAAGTGTTTGAGGATAGTAACGGAAGATAATATACAGATGGTGAATTTCTTGCATTCTACAAGCAAGAATGCATAAAAAGACAATTCAGTACTACATATACTCCTCAATAAAATAGAGTAACAGAGCAGATGAACAGAACTCTATTGAAAAGAACAAGAGTAATGTTAAGAATTGCAGATCTGGATAAATTTTTTGGGGCAGAAGCAATAAAAATCATCTGCTATGTGGTGAATCGAGCTCCATCAACTGTAATTGAGTTAAAGACGTTGATGGAGATGTAGACTGGCAAGCTAGCTGATTATTCAAAACTATATATATTTGAAAGTCCAGTATATGTAATGTACAGTGCCTAAGAAGTTATAAAGCTAAGAAAATGTATATTCTTGGGATATACTTATGGAGTAAAGGGGTATCGCTCATAGGATCTCACTACTCGCAAAGATATAGTCAGCAGAGATATTATCTTTGTAGAGAACAAACTACAAAAAGAAGAGAAAGAAAGCAGTTTAAGTAAGGACTCAAAGACTATAAATGTTCAGATAGAAAATAGTCCAGATTTTTCTGAAGTAATACCAGAGCATGATATAGAAGAATAAGTCGAACCCAAGGCTCCAAAAGTTTGAATGTCAACTCGTAAGGAAATACCACCGACTTGGCACTCAGAGTATGTTATGGAGAGTAATATTCCGTACTATTTTCTAATAGAGGATGGAGACTCGTCAACTTTTCATGAAGCTACAAACAGCACAGATACATCTTTGTAGATGGCAGCAAAGCAGAAAGAAATTGAAGCTCTCCATAAGAATAAGACATGTACTTGTGTCACCACCACAAGGAAGAAAGACTATTGAAAATAAATGGATTTAGAAGATTAAGCGAAATAGCGATAATCAAGTAGAGAGATGTCGTGCGAGACTGGTAGTAAAAGGATTTGCTCAAAAAGAATGTATTGACTTATTTAATGAAATATTTTCTCTTATAGTTCGACTTACAACAGTCTGAGTAGTCCTGGATATCAATGCTATATTTGACTTATATCTAGAGCAGCTAGATGTGAAAACTGTTTTTCTTCATGGAGATCTTGAAGAAGAAATACATATGCTCCAACTAGAGGGTATTGAAGAATAAGGTAAATTGGTTTGCAGGTTAAACAAATCTTTGTACGGTCTAAAACAGATGCCAAGGTGTTGGTGTAGGAGATTTAATTCATTCATCATAAGCTTTGGATACAACAAACTTAATTCAGATCATTGTGTATTTTTCAAGAGATTTGGTAAAATAATTTTGTTATCTTATTGTTGTATATTGATGACATGTTAGTTGTAGGCCCCAACAAAGATCATATCAAAGAATTGAAGGCACAATTAGCTAGGAAATTTAAAATGAATAATTTTGGATCTGCAAACAAGATTCTAGGTATACAAATTTATCAAGACAGAATTAATAGGAAGATTTGGTTTTCTTAGAATAATTATTTAAAGAAAACCTTATGACGCTTCAACATACAAGATTGTAAGTCAATTTTAACCATACTTCCTATTAATTTTAAGTTATCCTCCAATATAAGTCCTAGCAGTAAAGAAAACAAGATGGAAATGTCTTAAATATGAGACCCGATATTGCACAAGCAGTGAAAAGTTTAATATTCATTATGATTCGTACGATACCAGACATTGCACAAGCAGTAAGAGTAGTTAGTCAATGCATAGAGAATCCTGATAAAGAGCGTGGAATGTATGAAGAGGATCCTAAAATACATTAAGGGGACCTCAAATGTTACATTATGTTATGGGGGATCAGACTTTATTGTCAGTGTTACATTATGTTATGGGGGATCAGACTTTATTGTCAGTGGATATGTTGATTCTGATTATACAGGTGATCATGATAAAAATAAATTCATCACAGGCTATGTGTTTGCACTTGTTGGCAAAGCCATAAGATGGGTTTCAAAACTACAGTCAGTTGTCAATACATCAACAGCAGAAGTAAAATATGTAGCAGGTACACAAGCCAACAAAGAGGTAGTATAGTTGAAAATGGTATTGGAGGAACTCGGGCATATGGACGAAAGAAGATTTTTCTATTTTGTAACAGTTAAAGTGCTTTGCATTTGGTAAAAAATCTAGCTTTTTATTGAAAGAAAAAACACATTTGAGTTCTGTATCACTTCATTCGTGAGAAAGTGAAAGAATGAATAGTGAATACACAGAAAATTCACACCAAAGACAATCTAGCAGATTTTTTAATAAAGGCAGTCAATACTGACAAATTTGTTTGGTGTTAATCCTTCTATGGTCTGATGGAGACGTGAGCAACATGAAAAATGATAAAATAGAAAGAATGGTGTGAAGATATGATTGACTCTCTATTATATCTTCTCTATAATATCTTCAAGTGAGAGATTGTTAGATGGAGCTAGAGAGCCGCAATCTTCGACCAAAAGGATTGCGGCCCACACCCAAAAGTTGCAGCTCATTTTTGATATGAAGGAGACGAAATCCTTCACTTATCAAAGCTAGGCACCATCTCTCAGAGTTAGGCACCGAAGAGCCGAAATTGTTGATAATACGGGATCGAGTTAGCCTGTAAAAGTATCAAAGTTGATCAGAGTTTCTGATAACAAAAAAAAACAAACCAATCTCCAAACCTCATACTGAAAAGTGAGAGAAAAATATAGGGAGTTTTTTCTTATATAAAAAAGATATTGTAGCTCCAAAATTTTCCTCATGGTGGATTCTTCTACTCTTGCCGAGGGGGTTTTCCACATAAAAATTCATGTGTCCAATTTATTATGTCCACACTAGTATTAGCTGCGACCCCGCTCTATTTGGTCCCGATTTTCGAACACCCAACTCAAACCTAACCCCTAAACCCCAAATCAAAAGATTAAAGGGAGAAAGAAAAACGTGGCTTTGCTCAGTACTTGCTTCTACGGCTTTCGGCTGAAAATGGTGAAGCTAATGAAAAAGAGTGGAGGGGCCAGAGGGCTCAGATATGGAATTTTAAACTTGAGGGGGGTAAAACATTATACATTTTATCATAGGAAGAGGAAGCATAATTTTCAAATGTGAGGGGGTTGCAAGCAACTTTCCCTTAAATATTTATGAGCAGCGAGTTTAGAAGTTTGCAGCGTACGGTGATGTTATGTTGCAAACTGAATCGTTGGCAGCGTTTCATAGAGAAAGTAAGTTTGATGTCTCTTTATTAGTTCAGCTCAACATGCTCTGCATGTCCTATTCACAGTACTCCAGCACAAATTAAGTTGCTATTTCTTTTTTTATTGCATATCCTCGTCAACGATAAAAGAAAGCAAAGCAAAACATTACTCTCTATTGCAGGGAATAGCTAGCTTGAAACTTTCTAGATATGTTACTACCATGATTTCTCCTGCTTAAGCGGGATTACACCAGTTAGCATCTAACACAATCGAACTCCTACGTTTCAAACTTGCAGCAACATCTCTATTTGCGTTATCACTATGAACCAAGTATAGAAAAAAAGTTCAAAATATTTCTGTACTAAGACAAAGACCGGAGAGCGCGAACTCCACATAAAACACTTTCGGAAGTAATGCTCAGAAAATTTGCACATAATTGAAACACTGTGCTGCGGATATGCTAGCAGCTAATTCATGTACATTCATTTAAGCTCAACATAAACGATGGCTTTGTTAAAGGAAAAGGGGAGCCTGGAAATAATTTATTTAGCACGCCAATACTGGGCCCGAGTAATATTGCAGTGGCTTTGAACCTAATCGAAACATTATAAACGATGACAGGTTGAAGTAAAAGAATAGATCGGAAATAATTTACTACTAGGCCCCAAATAATATTCATAGGATTTGCACACAAATTGAAACATTATATTGCAACTATGCAAGTACCCTTTCTATACATTCATTTAAGCTAATTAATAAATATGAAAAATAACAGTGTCAAGCAAAAGGAGAGACTATAAACAATTTATTTAATGCGTCAATCCTCAGGACAACCTTCTAATACAAACTCACCTCTCTCAATTGCCGCTAATATACAAATGTTTTCTGACGCCTTGACGTGTCAACAAATTATGTACCAACTCATGATGAAGTCATTGCACCAGAAGAAGATTATTCACAGTGATATTGATATCATTGGTCCTCCGAAGATCCTGGAAAGGTAAGAAAGAACATATAAGATTTCCTCCCAAAAGTATCTGCCACCAACTTTCACAAATATTTACCTCGATGATTAATTCGTCGGGGATGTGAGGCAAAACCTCGCGAACTCTATCTACCATGTCATGTAAGTTGGGCATATTATTTCCATTTAAAGGGAGTGTGGTGTTTCGAAACCGTAAACCTGCTGTGTTGCTGTTGAATCTAAGGGAAGATGATGGCCGGGGTACAGAGGAAGAGGCTGAAGCTTGGTGAGTAGACCACAAGTTCCAAGCGGTGACATTATCTTGTGATCCCTGACCGTAGCCTTCTCTAACAGATGCGAGTTGTCTCATCATCAACTGGACTCCACTAAGTCCAACAGATCTAACTGAACTGGATGCTGCTGTGGAATCCATTCCAGTATTTGGCCAAGGAGGAACCCAACTAGACTCAAACCCTCCTCCCCTGCATTCTTTAAAAGTCAGGAGATCCAATAGAGAACCAAACAGCCGATTCTTGAAAAGGAATTTCATATCGACTTTAAAAATGAAACAGGTAGTGAATATTGTATGAGATAGATATGAAAAGGTGCTCGAAAAATTTTGAAGCCACAGCAGGAGCATTTCGTTTTTTTTTTTTTTTTTTTTTTTGCCCCTTTCCAGAATCCCCACCCACTGGCATCTCATACACATAATATTCAAATTAGTTCCTCATAATAGAGGGACTAATTTGAAATAACCAATTAGATCACCAAGTCCAACAGATCTAACTGAACTGGATGTTGCTGTGGAATCCATTCCAGTATTTGGCCAAGGAGGAACCCAACTAGACTCAAACCCTCCTCCCCTGCATTCTTTAAAAGTCAGGAGATCCAATAGAGAACCAAACAGCCGATTCTTGAAAAGTAATTTCATATCGACTTTAAAAATGAAACAGGTAGTGAATATTGTATGAGATAGATATGAAAAGGTGCTCGAAAAATTTTGAAGTCACAGCAGGAACATTTCGTCTTTTTTTTTTTTTTTTTGCCCCTCTCCAGAATCCCCACCCACTGGCACCTCATACACATAATATTAGATTTGAGGGACTAACTAGCAATCTCAATGATTTGAGGGACTAAATCAAAATATGAAAGATTAAGGGACCAATATGGGAAAACCCCTTAATACTATGCATTGAATTTGAATGAAGAATTTGGCTCTAAATCCTTCCGCAAGTGGCCAAGTTTCTCTCAAAGCATAATCAAAATAAAAATGTCAAGTGTGAGTATATAGCATGGAATCAATCAAAAAAAATAGCATAATCCCCCAGTTGTTCAGCCTGCACCAAGTTCATTTCCCAAGTTGAAATCCTAATGTAATTTAAAACCACTTGAATCCAAAGGATGATGTCAATCCTTAACTGAAATTGTGACATCAGTTGGAAATGGAGATAGGCCAAGAGCGGACAAAAGAAAGTTAAAAGAGAGGGAAGGAGAGGAGAAAATGTGCATAAAAGGAGGTTGGGGTTTAGATGTGTCGAGAATGATGAGGAAGCTTTGCCCAGATCTCCCAACTAGATCTCCTCCGTTTTCCTTAGGGCAATCGGTCACTTAGCCATAGGAAAACACCGAGAAAAGCAGTATTTGAGCAAAAGAAAAAAGCAATATACTACCGAAAAGCTAATCAAGATGTAAGACAGGAGGATTTACGTGGTTCGCCGATCGCCTACGTCCATGGGGAGATATCTGATCTTATATGAAAGATTATAAAGACGCAGTCTTTCTCACGTTCTTCAAAGACACCTGCAAGAAACCCTCCCAATCATATGAAAAGATCCTCACGAACCTAGATTTCTCTTTTCTCTTTTTCTCCACATCTTTTTACAATATGTAACTCTCTTAGCTTAATTACTCGACCCTAGACCAAGAAGACCTATATTTATAGGGTTACACCGCCAAAGCCCCGCACCAGTTGGACCAGTCAGTGCACAAGAGGATAAGAAGAGCAAGGCTGTTAGAAGCAACATTAACAAATTTTACCTGTGCTGTGTGGAGTTGAAGCTACGTTACAATGTTTGGTTGTTATCTTGTTTCTATTACATCGTCGGTTAACAATACTTTTAAGGGTAAATAGCAGAAAATATTGGTTGTTTGATAAAGGTTTCTGTAGTTAACTCCCTCTATTAATTTCTCCAAATAACCCTCCATTCCATAACATTTGGTAGATATCCTCATTTCTCACTGTTGTAATTTTAGTTTAACAGGTATGCCACTGTGCTAATGTTAGTTTACCAAATAAATCTCATAGGCTAAAGTATCCAAGTATCTTCCTATTTTTTATGTAAGAATATGGAAGCTCCAAATTGAATACATTATACATGTTGACAACTGAACATTCTGTACATCTTCACATGAATGAATATATCATTTAGGTTTGCTGATTTGCCTTGGTGCTTCATAGTTTACACTAGGGTTAAACTCCTAGGACAATAGATTAGACTCGACAGACGACTGCCTTGCAAGTTGTAATTTTGGAGATAAAAACTTATAAGTCTACAGGATTACTCAGAAGAGTAAGAGAGTTTAACATTGTTAGGGTGCGTTCGTATAGGAGTAGTTGAAGCCCTATATTGTTTCAACTACATCCAAATTTTAGCATGCATGTTTAGTTGGATGTTGTTACAAAACCAAAAGGTTGTTTTAAAATCAAATTATACGTTAAAAATAGGGGAGTTGCAGGAAAGTTCAATCTGAAGTGTTCCAACAGTAACGACTAGAATTGCATGATGTCGTAAATGCATTTGCTGTTACAGCTGGTCCAAACCATACACACATTTGGACATGTCTTTTTATTAAAGCTACAGCCTACGATATGTTTTGTTATTTTGTTTCTTCCACTACATGGCCTAATATATTTTTAAGGGGGTATTTAGAAGAAAATTCCTTATATTTTTGTTCTTGTTCCTGTTGCTATTACTAGTACTATTGCTATTGCGACTACTACAGCTACCACTATTACTACTACTACTTACCACTACGACTACTATTATTGCTACTATTACTGCTACTGTTACTACTATTATCATTTATCACCACTACCACTACCACTACTATTACTACTACTACCGTTACTACTACTACTACTGCAGCTACTATTACTACTAATAGTACTACTATTACTATTACAACTACTACTATTACTGTTACTGTTACTACTTATTTTACTATTGTTAATATTACTACTACTAATATGATTAGACTTTTATATGCGTGTATGCATGTGTATATGTACACTGTTTGGTTGCTTTATAAAAGGTGTTGTAGCAAACCACCTTCTCTATTAATTTCACCAGTTGACCTCCCTCCCATGATATTTGCCAGTATACCAATAGTGCTAATGCTAGTTAGCAGATATCCATGTTAATGTTAGTTAAGCACAGAACCCCCTGCACAAGCGATACCATGCAATAGCGCCCCTTAATTCAAGGAGGCAAAAATGATAGAACAGGAGCTGATTTCTAACTTTATGTTAGATAGGTCTATAGGGGCTATCTGAAAGAAGTGTGAGTTTATTAGAGACTACTAAAAAGAGGCGGGCGTGTTGATAAGGCATACACTCTTTAGATATAAAGCTCAAAAGTAATTGGCATTCATTCTATGGAAAACTCATAGCTAAAAAACAATGGCACTCATTCTATGGAAATCTCATATAGATAGAATATTTGATGTCAGCAAAAGAGAAAATGATCAATGTGCATGTAAATGTTTTCAACAGTCGTATCAAAAAGTATAAGCAAGTAGGGCATTCATAAAGGAGATAAAGTGCAAGGAAATTGAACCTCCACATTGCATCAGATGGGTTCTGTTGCTGATTAGGTAATAACCCCACTGGCAGAGGACGGGCATGTAGTCCCATACTAACTTCCTCAGTGAGTCGATCATTATTTATTCCCTGCACAGGGATGGAACTTGCAGAATCTGGGAAATTAGACAGAAAAAGAGGTCTTCGGCATGTGGGGCATGAGTACACATCAGCCATGCCCTGATCCAACCTAGTAAGCATGTGTGCAGAAAATGAAACGTAAGATCCCCAAAAAAAAGAATGGCATGCCTGCTACTAGTTATATAAAGAAAGTAAGAAACTATAAATCATAATGTCAGAAGTTTCTGGTTAACAAAATCAAAGAACAGAAGATGACTTTTTTAATGCAATGGTCATATTGTGTGTGCAAGTGGAAAAAGAGGACGAGACTAGTTAGATAAAGAGTAGAAATGACAAAGATGGCATGTGAACTAAACAAGGTAGCTCCTGCTAAACAAAATGTGCCATAATACATGTCAAAGAGTCTCTCACCCTCTCCTAGTCTTCACACTTAACAAAATTCTCCAGCATCCTTCCAAATAATTAGACAACGTTAGCATGCTTACAGTACATATCAGCCGATACTTCAAACATTGGTGTTTGGAGACCAAGTCCTTGATCCAAACCCCCAATCATGCTGCAAATAACTAAAAAGACCTTTGCTATCATTTTTTTACACTTCAAACTGTTAACCTCATGGTTATAAGCCTACTCCCTAATCTTGTTTTGATGATTACAAACAATTCCTAACATTGTGTGTCGAGTGCTTGCACTTGTTTTGTTAGGTAATCTACACAAATATCTTAGTCGAAGGTTGGATGGAATTGAGCTAAACGACCACATCAAATGGAGGTTGGCGGAATATCGGTATGAAGTCATTGCACATCAAGTCATATTCAAAATCAAGCTTTATCCGCAACCAAGTCAAGCTTATTGAAGATCTCATAGCTTTGGTATAATGTTTTAGGTTTATGCTTTGTGTGTTGATACTTTAAGCTCAATCATATTGAAGAACCTAAAATATGTATTCAAATATTTATTTTTCACAAATGGGAAGTTATATTTCAGAAATTCTTTCTCTAACATGTTTATCTACATGTTTAAAAACGTACCTCAAAATTTCATGATTTTTAGAGTTGATTTGCTATTTTTAATTGATTTTATAAAACCAGCTACGTAAAAATTCCAGAATCTGTCAAAACTGTCAACGGTCGACTTCATCAGTCGACTGATGACATCATCAGTCGACTGATGACATGTTTTCAGCCTATAACGGCTAGTAACGGCTAGGTTTTGTTTTTGTGAGTTTTTGTGAGTTTTTTGGAGGTTTTTTTTTTTTGGCTGGTTTAAGAGGTTATAAAAAGCCCTCAACTTTCATTGTTTCATATGGATGTTTAAGAGAGTTTCAAAACAAGTTTACAAGTGTTTAAGTTTGATTTTAAGTTTGTTTTCAAGAGGGTTTATGTGAAGAAGGTTTCACAAGAGGAGATCATTTTCGTTTGGGCCTTCAATCTTCCAATCTCTCCCTCTTGTTCATTAGAGAATTTTTTCTAAACTCAATTTTTAGCTTTATTTATATTTATTGTTGATTATTATTTCTATAAGCTAGATTTTCATATTGAGTTTAGTTTTGATTATTTCTCTTTGTTTACACACACAACCATTAAGCTTATAGTATTTTCATACATTGTATAATTTGGGTTGTGGTGAGTGACTTAGAGAGTGAGTCTACATTGTGTTCTTATCTATTGTAGAGAGCAAAACTTATATTTGAGCTTTTATTGTGAAATTCACCTTGTAATACACAAGTACACCAAGAGGAGTATGGTGAGGACGTGGTCGATACCAATAGGAGTGACGTCGGTAGTAAAACCTAGGGAGAGGTAGTAAAGTCGGGCACTTGAAGGAGGCGACACGTGAAGACCAACACTTGAAGTTGTAGATTGTGTGATTACATTGTGAGTGATTGTGAACGTTGATCGGTGAGCGTTGAGAACCGATATTGTGAGGTGTAAATATTTTTCGGGTGAGCGTCGAAAACCCGGTTGTAATAGTGGATTTCTTCCCGTGAGTGGGGAGCGGAGATGTAGGTCGGAAGGACCGAACTCCGTAATCATTAGCGTGTGTTTGAGTTTGCCTTGGCGTTATTATTTGTGCTTATCATTTGTCTCATTCTATATCGTCATTGTGTATTGCTCATTGTTTATATTGCCCTATCACATTTGCATCTTGTTTTAGTTGGCAGAAGCTACAAATGATATCGATCAGCCTGCATCGAGTCGATCTATAATTTAGTATATAATTAGATTTTGATGAAATGTGTTATCTGAAACTTTTTTCATATGTTTTCTTTGTTGGGAGTTAAAAATGATATGATTAAAATTTTTTTGTATATGCAGCTACCTCTAACTTTTAGAGGTAGCTAACTACAGTTTACGTAACTCTAAACGATAGTCAAACAGACAAAGTACAGAAAATATGTGGTCAAGAAAACTTAACTGAACTATTAATATACTTTATACTATTTACATATGCATTCTAACACATCTTAATCATTATCCTTAACAAGGCAATAGAGCTTATTAGGAAAAAAAAGAAGTTGAATAAAACAGTGTCATATGAAAGTTTTCAAACTATATGTATCTTAACATGGCAAAAACTCTGTAGATAGTACAAATTCAAGTAAGCAAATTGTAAGGTACCTTGCCCATCTTCTAGTTTTTAGGTGCTAATTACGATTTTACGCCCTGTAAGGAGACAAGTAATCTCGGCCTCTCTAGTATAAATAGCATTGGTCATATAAGGGTTGTAGCTGACCAGTTTATCAAAAAGCTTAAGTTGATTATTGTGACTTAGCACTTAAACCTCCTCAAGTGGATCTTTTAGGTCATGTAATAGTCATTTATCATAAACGCACTGTATGGATCTTAACATGGAAAGAATGTTGTAGATATAATACAATTCAAAGTCATGAGGTACCTTGTCCTTCATATCTTTTTAGGTGCTAATCTACAAACTTAACCACTGGGAGAATACTTTAAAATAATCTCAATGTCTCTAGTATTATAAATAAAATTACTCATATAAAGGTTGTCAGATGACCAATTCTAACAAATAGCTTAAGCTGATTTGATGTGAAGTAGCAATATAAGTCAAGCTGACTTGCATTTAAACCTCCTTAAGTTGGCCTTTAGGTCATGTGATAGAAATCTATCATAAAAATGACTAGCTTGGAAAGGCTAAACAAACTGGAGGTAAATATAAATAGCATATTCTAAACTATGAGGTATAAAGCCAGTCCATGAAAGACGTGATGGGTAACTATTTTTCTAATAGCTTAATCATAGGTTTAAAAACAGTCCTTGCAAGAGGGTGCTTCAAATCAATGATGGATAACTATTTCCTAATAGCATAATCATAGGCTGCGCTCTAACAATGTATATCAATTATCAAGTAAAACCAGCAGTTAAAAGGAAGGTAACATCAGAGGTACTGGTTAAGCATGGAAGATGAAAGCAGTAGCTTGTTTGGTTATTCAGTGAGATTTAAAGCAAACTAACTACACCGAAAAGATCAATTCTAGCAAGTAATCTCAAATCCAATCAGAACCTTCCATTTGCATGTACTGCTACTACTGCATGCCAAACACTTGTTAGTACTTAGTGCCCAATAAACAAGTTAAACCAACTTTAATGCTTGTCATATGTTTCACTAACTGCGAAGCAAACTTACTCTGTAGTTGGTACATTCCATTTATTCAGTTGCACAAAAGAACTCCAACAAGAAAGTGATTTTCAAGCATTCATGAATTTTGTGCAAATTCAATGAGCCATAATCTTTGACTCAAATAAGAACTGGAAATTCCTAACTGGCATGTTTCTGATGTGACTTGTTAAATAAGAAAAGAGTAGGATGATGGTTGTTTGAACAGCTATACATCCCGCAGACAATTCGATCTTTACAGGAAAGTAACCATATATGTGAGTATTAGAAACTCGGAAATAGTACTATTATTGTTCAAGGTAGGGGTGGAAACAAATCGAATTTGATCGAATATCGTTAAATTTGAATTCGACTTCGGTTTACTCCGGCGAATTCGAATTGGTGTCGAATGGGTAGAAGGTGTTCCAATTCAATCGGTATATTAACTAGATATTTGATAAATATTCACGAATATTTGTTAGCACACTTGGTTAAGGCACTTGCTTCTTGGATATGAGGTCAGGTTTTCAAATCCGATGTTGGTATATTATTTGTTTTATTTTTTTTTTACATATTGCATAATTATGTAATGATTTTTATGATATCTTACTACTAAAATTATTATATTTATATATTTAATAATTAAGTTAATACTTAATAGTTATCAATAGTAATAATAAACTAAAAATTAGTATAACGTAATAATGTAGAAGCAGGAAAATATCTCATTATAGATTTTAGACCTACATGAATTCGTTTTCTATCAAACTTCTTTAGCAACTTAAGAATGTAATCTAAGCTAAAATTTGCAAATAACTTATTTCTAATAGATATTTTGTTATGATATATATTGACACGGTAAATATCTCACGTGCAACTTTAAAAGATAAATATTATATGATAAATTAAACTTAGTGGAATAAAATGTAAAACATAAACAAATACTTAATAATCAATCGTATTGAATCTACCTTTGATTAAATTCTATTCATTTATGAGCCGAATACTAAAAAATATTCATTTACAATAAAATGAACTGTTGAGTGGAAATTGACCAACTATCTGAACGAATAATAACCAAATAGTTTATTAATTATTTGGTTCATTTCCACCCCAAGTTCTAGGTGCAATGACATAGTAAAGTTATAGTTACTGTAGTATAAGCTATCACCGGAATTTTGACATATGAAAACAATAAAAGAACAAAAATATCATAATAATTCGTCGTCAATGATAACACAGTAAAGATGTGTGAAGCTACAATGACATAGTAAAGTTATAGTTACTGTAGTATAAGCTACCACCGGATTTTGACATATGAAAACAGTAAAAGAACAAAAATATTATAATAATTTGTTGTCAATGATAACACAGTAAAGATGTGTGTAAGTCTGCAGTCCTGAGATTTATTCACGAATCAAGTTAGCAGAGACTCCAATAATTCAAGCCTTTAATTAGTTAAAGATAGCACTTCGTCATTTGACAAGTACAAAACATTAAATACCATTGCATGTAAAGCTTCCAATATGAAAACTTCACAAATGTTACCATGGAAAGAAAATTGCAAGATGCAGAAGCATACCACAATCTCAAGCACGCAAGGTGGAAAAGATGATTACAAGATAGCTTTTTAGCTCTGGCCATTGGTCCCTGCACTTTACAGAATCAATTATTTTACCCTTCAAATAGAAGAAAAAGTGTAAATATAAAGAACTAAGGAGCTTACCCTACAAATAGCACATTCATCATCAAATGCAGAAAGCTCCTCATATGTAGCATCAGGAAGTGCCCCATTAAGTGAATTCAGGGCTCCCCTCAACCTTATGTATCCTCTTATTCGCTTCACAGTAGCACCAGCAAGAGCCTATATTGTCCATAACAATACATATTACTCTCACCGTATATTTGTATGCATAAATAGATAGATATGTACATAGATATGTATATGTATATGTCTATATACATATGTAAGCATGTATGTACATAGATACATACATAAATTACGTATACATACACATGTATATCTAATATACTATATATCTAATGATAGTCCCAACAAATAAGATATTCATAGGCAAAATGAACGAGTGAAATGACAACATTTACACGAAAGTTTAGTAAAAGGACTGCATCGACAAGATGAAATGCCATGCCATGAAGCCACCATATGATCAGGTAATGACCTAGTGACATAGATAAAGTCAACATATCTAGGAGAAAACCGCAATTTCGGATCATGATACCCTTCCACTCCGATAGCGATCCTACAAACAAAACTTTCAAGTTAAACATCAGAAATTATTTAAGAAAAAATAGAAAAATGGTGCATGTATGATGATGTGTGAGGATGTATGGACTTCAAAGGAAATACTAAATAGAAGCCCTGCAAATAAAAGTTTCGGAAACATACTTTTAAGGAGGAATAACAATTTTCTGGAAATACCTTGTGAATGGACAGAAAACTTTATGTTTTTCTTTTTCTTTTTCTTTTTTCTTTTTACCCCTACATAGTCCATTGATAGACTAAATTTATCCAACTATAAACATACTTGAGAGAATAAATTAGAATCAAATTCCAGATCAAGATGGCCACCAAAAGAAGGATTTTTATCTTGATAATTTCTGCAATGTATGCATCTTTTGTCTACAAACAAAAAGTGTGCTTCCTCTTCTCTAATATTCTTCTGTTACCAGTTAGGAGAAACAATAATGCACGTTTTACTTTGAATGATATACTAATCTCAATACCAAGTCCGTAAATATAAATGCTAGACCACTGTCTTCTATGAGTAGGTTACATCATTTTTCACAGATGAATTTTTCCAGCTAAAAGACCAAGGTATTCAGACAATGTACAATAGACAGACAATTAGACTACCAGCATTATAGCAATAGCTCAATGACATAACTATTACTCTTACTAGTGGAGTATAAAGATAGATCATCCAGATTGCGATGGACATAAAACATGATGGAGATCCATCATGTTCTCATTTGCCTTTCATTTTGTTCATATGTTAATTAGCATGTTACGCTCGCCCTTATCATAACCTCTTTTCAGATAGAAGATTAGTTGCTATCTTTGTGTTTCTGAAGCTTCCACATGTTATCTAGGTTAGTTTTTGTCAGGTACATGGATTATGCTTACAGAATAGAGTGGGGAAATCAAAATAATTCAAACTTGTGAAAAAATTGAATTACCAAGAAATACCTCTTTTTTTAAGTGTTCCCTCCCAATGTCTAGACTCTCTTTCCAGGCTGAAGTTGGAATTATTAAATTATGAAACTGATTACACCAGATGGTTATTCTTAACTTGTGAATTTGGATATTCTTTCCTAATCTAAAAGCCTTGAATCTGTTAAGGATAGGTTATTTGCAATATGTAGCAATAAAGAATACCATTTAGAACATTGGGCTAATCATATCACATTGATCAGCTAAAGGATGATAAAGTTCCAGCAGTCAAATATTTTGTGATGGCTTTATAGCAATGCACCTTGTTGGCTGAGGACAATTGGGTACAAGTGATGCACTCTCTCTGAAAAGGGTTGTTCTATGCCTGATGAGAAGCAATTTAATCCCCTGGGAACTTTGTTTAGATGGTATTCATCGTGTAACACACTTCAATCATCTATAGTAACTGAAAAAGATTTACACGAACCCTTTTTTTTAGCACTAAGGAATGCTAAGGTTCTATTCTGTGGCTGTCTTCATAGCAAGCAGCAGAAGCCACTGCACATTCTTGATGAGGATACTCAGGTACATGCATTGCACTCTCTTTCAATGTATTAAATATCAACCGATATATCGCTATATAGGCCGATATATCAGTTTTGATGCCCTTCCGAGACGATATTTATAAAAAAAATAACATTTTTTTATTTTTACCACTTTTTCCGATATATCAGAAATATCGGTCGATATTTCATTATGGAAATATCAGCCGATATTGGCTAATATCCAAATACACTAAATCCTTAGTCAATCTCATATTTTTCATCCCTCTTCGTTTGGCACTCTAGCCCAAAAAAGCTAGGGGATGTGGTACGAATCTCTCTCTCCTCTCTCCACTCTCTCTTTCTCTTCTCCAATCCTCCTCTCTTGGCTCCCTCTCAACTCATCCTCAGACTCCTCTGTCTCTCTTCCTCTCTCCTCTCTCACAACTTCTCTCTCCCTTCTCTCTCTGTCTTCCTCTCTTCTCTGTTTATGTCCTTTGTGTCTGACATCTACATGTATCTAATGTCTCTAGACATTGTATATCATTATTCATGATGAAATTTTTATTTTTAGAATACATAAAATATGTTTTGATTACATATTACAATGTTATGTTACATATAAACATCATCCGATATGACACCCTGATATTTTTTACATATCCCTGATTTCTGCAATCCGTTATAAATTTTGGTCATCCGATATTTTCGATATTTTCGATATTTAATACATTGATTAGAGTTCTGTTATATGCTTGATAGAGGGCAATTTAATTCATTCAGCATTTTGTCTAGAAGCATGGTCTTCATTGCCTAAACTACTAACTGAAAGTTCTAAGCCTATCGTGCACCCCTAGTGTTATCTAAACTAGTTGCATTTATGGAAAAGTTCAAATCTGGCAAAAATACAGCAGATTTTATCACATTTATTCCATGTATCATAGCTGCAAAAAAATTAGAAAAACTTTTAAATACCTGAAGCTGATTTAAATAGGGTAAGAGAACCTAAGCAATCAGCACCGCAGTCAACTGAATGTCGTTGCCAAATCTCAATTAACTGAAATCCATGTACCATGATAGCCTACAACATAATGGTGAATCTCAGCATCATTTTGTCTTCAACAACATATACAATTTGGAATCGTTAACAGTATTCTATCAAGTGTTAGCTATGCCTCAACCCAGGAATCCTACAGCAAAAGATGATTAATATAGCTAAGAATTTCGCCAGATGATATAAACTGTTTAGTTATAAATAACCTTGACGATTAAACACTGAGTAGGTTTATAAGAACCCAACTGAAGTGGTTTTTCCTTTTCTTTTCTTCTTTATGTTTTTCTGGTAATATGCTGAAATCCGCGTAGCAAAATGGAAGGCAATCAATGGAATATTATGAGCAAAGCATCACAAGTCTATACTGCATGAGAATGCTATTACCTGCAGTGTCTCAAAAGCAATGCTAAGCGGCTCAAAGAACAGCAGCAAAAATAAGTTAGAGGTGAAAGATCTGTATATCTTCAGGCACAACCTAATCCTGCAAGTTGATAGCTTCCAGTAAGAACAGATCATAATATATGATAAGAGCTAAATTTTATAATAATAATAATGAAGGTAATTAAAATGAAACCCTTTCAAGTTTGACCTTATATTATGGAAACTCCCCGCCGTTATCTTTTGATTACAAAACCCCCACCGTTGAAAAATATTGTAAAGATCAGCATGTGCAAGGCATGTGAGTGGCAAATTCTCTGGAATACCCCTTATAATAGGTTGTTCTCCTTCCTCAAACAATTGCAAAATGCCTCCTCTCTTTTCACTTTTAACCCAAGCAAAATGATTGCAGTGAAGAGAAAACTAGTCGAAAATTAAGGTTATCTCTTCAAATCCTATGAGTTCAGTCTCTATTTTGTAATCTTTGGTTCCCCACCTGTATTTTGTTTTATGGAGAAATGGTTCTTAGTGGTTATATTTTTTTCTTTTATTTGTTCTTTTATCATAACACTATAAGTTTCCTATGGGAGAGGTCATTCTCATTTGGTTGCTACAGAACAGCTGGATGCTTGAAGCTCGCTATGTTTACTTTGTTTTGTCCCAGGAACTTTTCTATTATGATTTTAAGCATTATATTGGAGAGTTTGAGGTATGTGATTGTAAGCAATAGGATATATGATTAGCTAAGTTTAATTTGATTGACAAGTTGTAGATTATGCCTACATTTGCTAAAATTTGTAGATATTGGTTAACAATATCAAGACATCTTATTTGGCTAGGAGTAGAAAAGATCAACGGAAAGGATTAAGAATCCGGGAGTGAGGCAAGATCTATGTTAACAGGAAGAAGAAGAGGGCAATTTTGGAATATAAAAATGCATGTAGCTTGCACATGTTTTAAGTGAATATTAACAGTTCTATCAACAGCAGGGGCTTCCATAATAGGCGGCCAAACTTGAAGGGGGTTTCATAATAATTACCCTATTTATAAATTATAATGACAGGAAACATGAGAATTCATAAACATGATCCCAGCTGCAATGTCAAGAAAGAAACATCATATGAAAGAATAGTAGACATTTAGAATGAGAAATAAAGCCTGAAATCCAGAAAATGAATGAAATTCACCACAGTTCCAGGCTCAGTTACAGTCAATGTTTTCATCTTTGTGAAAATTTGATCAGGTAACTGAAAGACCGAGTCAAATGAAATTTAAGGCACCAAGGCTTATGTATAAGCAAGGAAACAATTGGCAGAACAGGCTCATGGGTTTACATGGTCAGCACATTACAATCTTCGGATAGAAAAGTTAAAACACATTACATCCATTGCACTAAACAACAAAAAAGTTTTGGGGGAACTATCTCATCCCAAGAGCACAATGTAGTTATCTACAATTTACAACAAATTGGTCATCTATAGCCAATTAAAAGGTGTAATTTATTAGCAGTATAAATAAAAAAATAAACAAAAGAAACAACTTTCAAAGACCGCTTACCACATTACCCATTTGAAGCTGCACATGTACTTGCGATCAACTAAACACAACTTAAGAAAGAATCAATTACGCTGAAAAGTTAATCTGCTTCTACATCAAGGAAGTTGAAAATAAATCTCTATTGTTTACCAATGGGAATTTATGTAAGCATGGAGAGATTTAAGTGGTTTTTAGATAGACTTCTATGCTTAGGAATATTTTATTTAAAGCCCCCCCCCCCTTCAGGTACTCTTCTCTTTATTTTTGGACTATGTACATGTTATTTATGATGGTGATGCTAGTAGTTACATACTAACGGGGATCGAGAAACTCTAAAAGTTTATACAATGATATAAAGAGATGAGAGCTTCTTCAGTCAATCTGTAGTTTCCTCAAAGTGTTTGATTTCTAGCTCTCTTTGGTTTCCTTAAGGGTTTCTCTTGTTTCACTGTTTAAATGTTATCTTAGTATGTTGTGGTTGGTGCAAGGGGGTATGAAAAAGTTGGGGTTGTTGATATTATGTATACAACCGACTTCTCATTTAATGGATGATTCTGTAATTCAACTTTGAGGTTTGATCCACTAAAAGTCTAGCCTTCTTCTTCAGCTTGTCTGTGATCAGTGACAGATCCTAACATGGTGCAAACTCTGTAGTTACTTTCCTATAACTATTTTACATGATTTTGTTGTTTTCCCATCAAAATTTACTCAAGAATTTTCTTTTTAGATCTCTTTTTCATGAGCAAGGTCTCCATAGGTTACCTAGACACTTCATCTAGGCTTCCATACCTGCACTTCCCGTATCTATGTCTGTGTTGGACACTCCTTGAACACTTCTTGAATATATACATAGACGTGTACTCAATTATATAAAACATGTTTTAGTTTTAAAAAGTTGTGATACACTTCTTGAACGTACATCAAACACTACATCTCAAATTTATGCAACTCATTCAATTCGGGACAAGTTCGTTTATGCAAATACCTAGTTCATAATAGTGATTTTAAAGGGTCGCTTGGGTATCTAGTTTAAAAACGAGCAGTTTTAAATGCATGATCTACTTAAGAAAACCAACATAAAAATCGTATAAGGATTTTAGTTCTGATAAGATGCGAATGAAAAATAATATTGATCTCATACAGATAATTAATTTTGATATGTATATATAGCCGTGTCCCCATATTCTAACTTGTATAATTTTGTTGTGTCCCATGTCCGCACGCATGTCTAAGTCCGCACCCGCACCCGCACCTGTATCCATGCAACATAGTCTCGATGTGAAATCCTTACATGTGCAAATCTCTGGTTATCTAAACTACCTACCTTGTTTACAATAGTTTTTCTGTTAGATTTCCACAACACTTCTCTATCTCTAGTCATAAACATTGATATAACCTAATCTTTTTTCTTCTTCTTCTCTTCCAAAAAGCGACCACTACTCTCGTTTTCCCCAAAGCAATAACCAACATTCTCAACTGTTGAAACAAAATTCCACAAAAATAAACATTTGAATTCCTTTGCCTTGTATTCACCAAGTAATCTCCCATTATACAATAGCCCTTCAAACTAACCTCAAAAACATGAATATGCAGTTCTACGATGTCCATATCTAGCCTGAGAACTTGCAATCTGTGAGGAATTTATCTGACTCATCTTTGTAACATGTCACTAAACTGAAGCATCAAGTATCTCAACTTATTGGCTTCCACGGTATAAAAAGTTTCAAGTTTGAACTTATATCCAAATAATTCCAAGGTCCTCTCTGATCTTAGGTTGGGTTTACTTCAGGTTTTGTTCATTTCAGTCAAATCCTAAGCTTGTATGTTCAACAGCATCTGTCATCAAGATCAGGTTCATGTCATTATTAATTTTGCATCATTTTATTATTACTTCTTATTATGTCACACACATACTGATAAAATCAATATTATCGATAGCGGATAAAATCAATATTACCGATAGCGGATAGCGTCGCGTAGCGGTGATGCATCACTAAGGCTATTTGAGGCTATTGAGGAAAAATAGCAATAAAAAACGCAAAGTCAAATAGCAGTCTAATTTAGATATGTATAAATATTCAAAAAAATTTAAAAATCTAGAAAATCTAAAAGTGCATATTTGATGATTTAAAGATATCCTAAACATAAAATGGACATGTAACCGTCACATAATACCGAAGAAGACTGGAGGTGAAGTCAAAGAGTCGTCATCTTTGAGAAGATGAGCTGAGCGATGAGAACTGTAGTAGGAGGAGCTCACAGCGAGAGGAGGTGAGAGGAAGTAATAAAGGAGGTGTCGGAGGCTATGGAAGGCAGCGGGAATAAGCCGAAAATCGTGAGAGGCAGTAGGATGCAGTCGTTACAGGTCAGGTTTAATTTTAAAAAAAATAAACCTCAAACCGCTTTTAAATAGCAGTCAAAAAACAGATTTTTTCCGCATATTTTGTCCGTAATCGCCTGCTATTCACCGCTATGACGTTCTATTAGCTGCTTTTGTAAGCAGAAAGCGCATATCCCGTAATATGTCATCGCTATTGGGCAATAGCGTAGCGGAAAGGGACCGCTAACGCGATTAGCGCTGCTGTTGCGGTGCTATTTACCGCTATTTATAACAGTGCGTAGAATCATTTCTCATTACATAGATCCTTCAAATCCCTACTACATATCCTTGTAATTCAAGGGTGTTATCTCAAACCTGATTGTCGTACATTTAGTTTTAGAATTATTTTAACATGTGTTTGATTATTATACGCTACACCTAAATTTGTAGCTCATGATGCATCACATGTAAAACTTGACAAAAAATCCAATGAGAAGAAAAACAGTTATGTATGGTTTTTTTAAGATTTAGGAAAAGGATCAATATAAGGCAATAGGATACCATGTGTTGACTTTCAAAAAAAACAAATATATTGATTAAAGATACTTAATTATGAGTAATGACATGTTACGATTCTAAAAAAGAGACACCAGTCTAATGTTTACACTTACGTGATCAAGGATACATGAATATACATGATCAAGTAGTAACAGCATGAGAACCATTGTTTTAATTATCCCCGACATTGGCTCGATATATCGTTTTACAGGGCTTGCCGTAACAGATATGGTCTCTAAATATCCTTCGCCGCTTTTTATCTATTTTGGGCGATATATCCCTGATATGGCCGATATATCAGTCGATATGTGGACCAATATATCTTTTTATATGGCTTGTCACAAAACATTATACTGTGTTTGATAATTTTTGGGCAAGACATCATGATTTCCTCATTATATCAAATGATTTTTTACCCTAAAAAAATCATACCAAATGTTGCAAAGTTGATTTGTACTTTTGATTATTTTACAAGGTTGATTAGCGATCTTAAACATATATTATTCACATTTTATATGCTTAAATTTCATTATATATGTTGAGATTAAATTTTGGTGCATTATACTATATATGCAAACATCAGTTATGACATTCCGATATTTCCCCAATATCTGCAATCCGATATGAATTTTGGCCATCTGATATTTCCCCGATATTCAATATTAAAAACCTTGATGAGAACCACAACCACATGCTATCATGAAGAATAAAAATAGTAGCTGTTTATACCTTATCTACTTATGGACAAAATTACTACGCATATAGAGAATGAGGTTTCACGTTGCATGCTTTTTGTTAATGACACTTTTCTGCTAAAGGGACAAAAGTAGGCCTAGTGTGTAGCACAAAAAATTGAACTAAAAATTGGATTATTTAGTAAAAATAAGGGTCTAATCAACTAATAACCAAGAAATATTACAGAGCTATCAGCCTATCACCCCACTACTTTGCACTGGTCAGCTATTGTAACCATGTGTTTGAAGAAGTTAATTACAAAATTCACATAATGGTTTAAGAGTAGAGGAGCTTCCTACGTACAATTGGATAATAGATTACCCATGGAATTGGACGAAATTTTTCACAAGATAGATATATGATTAACCATGCTTTTTCGGTCAAATAGAGGAAGTAAGGGGCATCAATCTCCTACACCAAAACATAGAAGTTCATGCATAAGAATTTTCAAATTCTTTAATTTAGTATAAAGTTATGGAAAATCAACTGAGAATATTTAGGAGCTAAAGGGTGCCAAGCTAGGGAAACCACATGATCATATTGAGGACCAGGGTTCAAAACTAACCTAATTTGCAGAGGAAAGAAAAAAGGATTACAAGTAACCAGACAGAATAGAGAGAGGAGTTAGCACCTCCATTATCAGCTTAAGTTAAGAGAAAAGGAACATATTGAATCCGGAAAAGAAACATTAGACAACATGATAACAACATTTGATCTGAAACATCTATGTGTGCAGAAAAAATAATGCATGCATGTTGACTTATTCAATGAAAATTACCAAAGGGTATCAGCAACTAAAACGAGCAAAAGGGAGGAAAAAACACGAAAGTATTTTGAAGGTGTTGCAGTAGGGGATGCATTTAGCCGATCAAGCCGATCTCTAGCCAATGACTGGAACATCTGTGAATCGCAGACAGGTATGCCCAATATGAATAAAGAAGTTGGTTCCTCCAAAGAAACAAGGTTTACAAGTATCAGCCAGCAAATTCAGCATACAGTACCTTTAGCGTACAGAGAATGATCAACCAACTTGACCAGAGAACTGTCTGGAAGGTATTTGGTGGCACAACTAATGGGAGAAAAAGTCCCTGTTCAGACATGTCCAATGGCACATGTAAACAAACAGCAGTTAATAATACCAAAAACTGCAAACAATAAACTAACTCAAATTTTAGTAAAAATAAATAAACAATAACCAGGTCACTTGAGAGTAAGGTCTCCTGATCAATATGGGTTTTCCAGTAAACTAATATATAGGTCTGTTCTTTTCCCTCACATCAAAGGAATTAACTAAGAACCCAAATGGTTGACCTTCCTAACATGTTGATTGTTAATAACATAAGTGTTATGCAACTTCTAGCCTCAAAAGCTTATATATGTGTTTAACTATAACAATAAGCAATAAACAAATACAAGTATTTAACTTTATTGAGCAATGTGGACCCGAACATTTCTTACCCAAAAATAAATGCATCTACCTCCAATCACATGTAAGCACTAAGTTTATAATATAGCTGTTTGATTTTTATCTTTCCAAATCAGTATCAAATTTTCCCACATCAAGTCTGCACCTTGATAGGTCAGTTTATATGTCAAATGACCACTTCTCTCAAAAGCTTAATCTACTCACTGTTGACTAACAATGTATATCGAGCAAACATAAACACTTAAAGCTTCCACTTGACCTAGAACAAAAACAAAACTAACTTGGACAGAACAGTTGGGATAAATAAAGATATCTTAAACTCCCAGTAATATGGCTTGAACCCGGAACCTTTCATGACCTAGTGCTTATATATGTATGTGTGTGTGTGTAAGAAGAGATATTTAAAACTTAACAAACAAGAACGTGAATTTAGACCTACCAGATATCTCGTACATGTATATAACAAAGATTCAACGATCTGACTGATTCACATACCTATATCTCAAATTCTCAATGTCTTCAACATTCCTTTTGTAGCTATTTATGTCATGTGGTGATATCCAAAAGCGTAAACCGTACCAAAATAACCATATCCATATTTTTATGTCAATAAGTTCAGCTAACAAATATCCTGCTTCTACAATAGACTCCCAGAAAAAATTTTGCTTAAAAAAAGAATATTAGAGCAATTAAAGAATATGGCAAAGTCAAGCTTATATCTGTTGTACAAATAATTAGCATTTTATCGGTAAATCAATAACTACAACTTTATCATCCACCTTCATGAGAAAATATAAAAGCCATATCACTTCAGCAATTCTCCATAGCTGCTTAAAATAAAATAAATATAGCATATTGCCTGCAGAATCTGAATAGCAGAATTATTGGTGTTTACAACCATAGAAGAAAGCCAAACAGATTTTACTTGCGTATCATTTTAATACATGTCAAATTAGTAGAACTGTGTGTAAGTCACAGGATATGTTATGCAAATGAAGCTGGCAATAGACTGACAATGGCAATTTAGTAGTTGTTGCGTGTGAAAATGAAGTGAGATACAATACAACTGGAGACACAGACCACTCAATTACATTACACATGCATTCATGTGCATACACTAACATGTGTGCAGTACTTCATTGTTTGATAGGAACAAGCTTCAAGCTTGTCCCTACCTACTCAGCTACATGTTTGGCCAGGATGCTCCACAGATAATTTCGATCTACACATCATAAAGTGGGCAAAAGTGATACATTGTGAAAGCTTCTAACTATTGTTCCTGTTATCCTATATTAAACTATCGCTCATTTTGTGAACATTGATAAATAAGTTAGAATTTTCAAATTACATAACCTTTTTATCTATAGACTTTACATGGTGTAGAGATCAAAATGAAAATAAATGTTGCAGAGTGCAATTGGAGTGGGACATTTTTGCAATTTGGTTAAGTGGGAACAAACTACTATGTCTGTCAAGAAATACGAAAAAGTCATGGTTTTACATATTTGCATAAAACTGGCATTTATAATATGATTGGCATCATGTGACATGATCATGGAACAAAATTGAGAACTTAACCAATATGTGTAGCTTAAATAATAATCACCTTATGAATGACATAATTAACAATACGCTCCAGAACTTTTCGGGTCTCCGCTGGATATAGCTGGACAAAGAACAGTGTCTGCATATAAGAGAGGAAACAAACGATAAAAACCAACACAAATAAAACAAATACAAGAATATACATGAGGTAACCACAAACTAAAATAAAATGCACATCTCTAGCTAGCATTTTTTTTAAATCATAATAATCATTGGCTCAATGCAGAAATCATCTCTAGCAATCAACGCCACAGAATTTAATATGTGGTAACATGTTGTTTTTGGGTACATGACGTACAAACCACATATGAAGCTTACATAAGATCTACTAATTAATGCAGAAGCATAAAGTATCAATTACTATTTTAAGTATTTTCTTGAGTAATTTAATTTTCAAGATGACATTTAATATCTTGTTTTATGTGATGTTTTGTAATTCTGTTTTGACTTCTAGGAAGTAAGTGTCTATTTTGGGTCTTTTTAATAGCAATTAACACATATTACAATTCAAAAATTATAATGAAACAAAGAAAAAAGTTATAGAAATCTAGGGTTCTTTTCCGCGTGCCAATGGAATGTCGATCTTGTGCTCCGTTGAGGGTCCGACCAAGATAAAAGGTCATTCGCTAATTAACAATCTCTGATCTTGCTGAAGATGCCAAACTCTTTTTTGGATGAAGAAATGCTAAGTAACTAAAAACTGAGAAAATTGAGTTCAAAGTATCAAGCTTCAGGTTCGCAGCCTTTCTTCTTTTCCCTTTATGTATCAAAATAAACAATCTTCACTCCTCTTATAGGCTAAAAGAGAGAGTTAGTGACCATTAATTGTGGATTAAGTGGTCTTTAACGTAAGAGATAATGGGAAGAACTATTTCTCCTTGAAAATAGCTTGAAATAGTTAATCGGAAAAGTTTGCTAATAACGTTGTGGGCGAAGTTCGCTAGAACATGGGTGAGCCACTTTCTCTAGATCATGGATCATGGGTGACGTGACCAACGTGGGTTTCTTTAGGCTAAGTTCGCTAAGGATTTTGGGCGAGCATCGCTGATAAGTTTGGATTTGACTCAGAATCCAACTCGAACATGTATCTTGACTCGGTCAACTTGAGGACGCCTTTCAACTCGACCAAGAATCAAAAATATAAATACTGACTCACCCTAACTACTTCTTCACTTTAACGAGTTGTTTTTAAATGCATTATGCAGCCAAGTTCGCATGTTTTTTGAGCGAACTTCGCTACAACCTGTTGTGGGCATATGTTTGGGCTCATTAAAAGTATTTAGCCTGTAGACTTCTACTTCTTGGATCCAAACTGAGCATTGGGCCTAGGTGGAAATATATTTAACCTTCTACAATGTCTAGTATATATGATGAAGTCTAAGGGTCATGTTTGTTTCTCTTTATATATCTTAAGAATGAAATGAAATGCAGACTTTTGGGATGGAAGGGGAAAAAGTCTATTTAGGATGTGTTCTTAGTTGGAGTGAGAAATTTCTCCTGAACAATCAAGGATGACTTGATCGCATAGAGTGGCATCCACAATTAGCAGTGTTGAGTGATGTCCACTACCTAATGTATGAGAAGACAAGACTACGATATTGGGGTTTATTATAATTGGAAAGTTAGGATTTTATTCTATCTTATTTTAGTTAGGATAATATGATTGAATCTTATTTGATATTTTAGTCTAGATGTTTGGTTAGGATGTTTCTCTATCGTATTTTTTACTTAGGGAGAATATTTGAGTTTATCAATTAGCATTAGGTTTCTTATGAGAATAGATCTTGATTTAGAAAATTTGAATTATGAAAATTCACAAGCGTGTGAGTTGTTTCTTCTCTAGAGCACGTGAAGTGCTAGTGGCATACGGTTTCTTTGGATGTGAAGTTGTCTATTAACTGTATTTTTATTTCTATATCCAAATTTCATCCCCAACTTCCAGTCTAACATTCCAATGATAACTACTCTTCATTCCCAACCACTCAACAATAAAGCCCTGCCCTCCCTCCAGTCTCCCAAAGTTTGCAATCACCCAAATTCTCTTCCAAAGCCCACGTGAAGCTTTATCCCACCAAAACTGTCATAAAACAACAAAGAGAAAAAGACGAAAAAATTATGCGAGAGAGAAAGCATCATGCTCATCTTCTCCCCCTTCTTCCTCTCACTCTTCTCTTTACTGTTTCACCAACCAAACCATAGCTTGCCCTCCTCCACCTCAATTTATCACCGACAATCGCCAATTCAATTCTCTGACAAACTTTCCGACGAGTTTCTCTTGCGCATTTATATTTCAATTTGGAGCCCTTAGTCTGGTTCGAAATTATTTGGTAGGACAAATTTTCTAAACCAACATATTTGGACTTTTATTCCCAAAAAACGACCCCATTCAAAAATAATTGCAAAAACCGACCTGGTTTCAGCCTCAGTGCTGAAATCAGGACGGTTTTTGAAAAAAATTCTCCGAAACTTCACGGGAGTTGAACTCCCGTGAAGTTTCGTAGTTCAAAAAACTTCACGGGAGTTCAACTCCCGTGAAGTTTCGGAGAGTTTCTGGTTTCAGCCTCAGCGCTGAAACCAGGTCGGTTTTTGAAAAAAACTCTCCGAAACTTCACGGGAGTTCGAGTTGAACTCCCGTGAAGTTTTTTGAACTACGAAACTTCACGGGAGTTCAACTCCCGTGAAGTTTCGGAGAATTTTTTTCAAAAACCGACCTGGTTTCAGTACTGAGGCTGAAACCAGGTCGGTTTTTGCAATTATTTTTGAATGGGGTCGTTTTTTGGGAATAAAAGTCCAAATAGGTTGGTTTAGAAAATTTGTCCAAGTTTAAGACGATCCGCAATGTAGAATACTAATATTTGAACAAAATCAACTTGAGATTGCCAAGATGTGGGTGCTTTTTGAGGAGTATAGCTGTATATGTAAGCCAGACTTGTTAGAAAGAAGACCAAAAGTTAGAGATACAAGTTATCAGAAATTAGAAGCATTGTTGATCGTCGATCAAGTTCTCCAACAAACTTTCTGACAAGTTCCCCTAACACTTTTAGACTTTAGATCAAAGACGTCAAGCCAGGTCCTCATCAATTGGTATCAAAGCTAAAAGATCCACCATTCTAGGTTCAACATAGAAATTACAACAATTCGAGGTTCAACAATTATATCCAATTTTAAACTCGAAGCCGAGTTTTCTCCAACTAGGGTTGATTTGATGCGCTACCAGTAGAAGGTTTGATTTCCGTAGGAATTTTATGTTTCTAAGGATTTGAGCTTATTATAGTTGAGATGCTTTAGTTAGGATATTCAGTTAGAAACTGTTGTTTGGTTTTATCTAATGTTAAGATTTTATTTGTTATTAGGTTTTTTGTTTTACTCTTATAAATATGTTGTACCTCGTCATTTTAAGGGAGGAACGCAAAATGCAGTCACTCCTAATGCCTCTCCATATTATCCATGCATTTCTAGCTTTCATGGCATTATTTATACGTAAGTCAGTTATTATTGAGATGATTTATCTTGGAAATAGTTACATATTGATATTTGTTTCAGTTAATTTTTTTGGTTTCAAATGAGAAAATGATCTTGATGTGTGATCATTTTAAATTGTTATCAAACCATAAATTTCCACAATATGCCCACAACAACATTGTAATATTAACTCCCATGCGATGTGCTGGTAGCAACCAGATAGTTGGTAAACATCAGATGATAGTTGGCAACGATGAGATGATAGTTGGCAACTAACTATGGCTCAGAGCTACACATTCATATCACCAATCGTGACACAGTAATAAACTTATTTTTCCCACAAAACTCAAGGCACTACAGAATGCATCTAAAACAATCAATCAATAAAGGAAGCAACTTCACCTTGAGAGAGAGCACCAAAAAGGCAAACAAATTCACAACAGAATTCACCAGCAAAGCTACGGTCACATTCGATCCCAAGACCAACTCTAGGACACGCCTCACATTCTTCAAACTGATCTCACCCCCATCAATCAATCCGTCGGCTTTAATCCCATCAACTAAAGAGAAAACCCACCACTGCAACCCTACGAAGCTCACCACCGTCGAGATCGCTGACAGGTACAAGAAATTCACCGCCATTTCATAGCAAAACCCTAGAACTGGATCAAGCGATTCGATCGATTAGAGAACGGAGCAAACCCTAGAATTAGCAATCGAATTGGGTTGGAGAAGAATGAGGCTTACGATTTCGATTGCTTGACGAGCAGGGTTTCGTGATTTCTTTTCAATCGATCGAAAATTAGGGATTTGTTCGTAAACTGGGGATTTATATTTTATTTTTGGGAAAAAAAATTAGTTAAATTTCGTGTTAAATAGGGAGTTGGAGTGGCTCCATTTTGGCTCCGCCGACTTGTTAAGATGCTCCGCGGGGTAGAGTAAGTTAAAGCGTGGTTATTGTTTGACGTTTCGCTAGCAGAGTCTAACGTTTGACCTCGGACATGCACGAGCTATGCACGTGAATATATTATACATAGCAGAGTCTAACTAATTTAGGATTTTAGAAAAAAAAAATATTCGAGAATACAATATGAAATATAGACTAGATGTTATTTTTTATTTTGTCCTCATCTTGAATTGGTATTAAGACTTGATCCAATCTCAAATGTAATAGAATAGAATTTCCTGGCTAATTTAGTCTTAGGTTTGAGTATGAAAATATAGAAAAGTATATTGCCTCAACCTCGGCTCAATACAATACTATTTTGAAGGAGATTTTGATTTTAAAATGGCAAATTATTTATGTCGTAATAACGTATAGAGAGTTTAAAATTTTTCCGGGCCTTAGAATAATTTCTTACGAACTGATCTTCGAAGAAATCAATGAAAATATTTTTTTTTTCCAGAAATTATATATGAGGAGAATATGTCCGTACTAATTTATTTATTCAAACTTGCCCAAATTTCTTTTTCATTTTTCTTTCGTCCTTAAAGTTACCCAAATGCTAGAGCCCAGAAGTACGGTAAGCATGATACTGCGCTATGCTTTTGCTGGGCCTGTTATAGTGGCCATGCCGGCCCTAAAAAATTGGGTTTTAATTTTTGAACATCTACTAATCTGGGCTTTAATGACGCAACTTTTGAATGTTTAGACTCGCGGCTCAAACAATCACACAAATCCCACTATTTATAAAGATGAGGACTAATTAGTAATTACACATGTTTCATTTTTTTTTCCTAATCCATCAGTTTAAAAGGCAATGGTTAAGAATATGAGTAAACTTCAAAGTGATAAAAAAAAATGTAACCATCTTCTCAACTTTTTGAGTGACCGTTAGCATATAAAAGGTGTGATGAGTTTATAAATTATAGTTTAATAAGCTCTTGCAGGTTGGGTGTTTTTTATGAGCTTATTAATTTGAAGCTACTTTATATAGATGCAACTTTTTTTCCAAAAAATTTTTTTAAGCGTACGCCGGATAAAAATTAAGCTTAGATTGTTCTAATATCAATTTGAAGCGTATTTTACTGCATCAAAACTTTGAAATTGTGATACATATCAAGAATATTGTGATACAATATCATCTTTCTTTAAGCAACAAGGATTCCATTAAAAAAAAGCTATGCTTAACCA